GTGACATCAGTGCCACTGGCCTGTAGCTACTGAGGTCCTTTGGTTGCTGCATCTTCGGCACCAGTACCACACAAGATGTTTTCCACAGTTGTGGTACCTTCCCGAGCTTCAGGCTCATGTTGAAAATGTGTTCAACTATCCCACACAACTGATCTGTGCAGGACTTAAGGAGTCTGGCGCTGATGCCATCCGGACCCGCAGCTTTCCTCACTTTGATCTTTCTGAGCTCCTTTCTCACCTGTGCTGTTGTAAGGCACAGGTTGGTGCAGGAGGGCTGGGTGCTGGAGTGTGCAGGTAGGGTGGTTAAGCTGACAGCAGAGAGATCAGTGGTGGGTGGCTGTGAGGTGAGAGTTGTGAATAGCTGGGTAATTAAGGGAGAGGGGGCAGGGCAGTGCCCTGAGAGACCAGAAGAGGGGGCTTGCAGTTAGGGGTAACTGTGTAGGGGGATGAGTGAACAAATGTATTGAAAAACAGATTGAGATCATTCCCCCATTTTTGGACCCCTACAGCCTGGGGGTCAGGTTCCTTGTGGCCAGAGATTGTTTTTAGACTTTTCCAGTCCCCACTGATGTTGTTATTCTGCAGTTGTTCCTCCATCTTCTTCCTGTAGTTGGCCTTTCCCTCCCTGATTTTGCTTCTCAGTTTCCTCTGTACAGCTCTCAGTTTTTCCTTGTGACCTGATCTGCAGGCCCTCTTTTTCTCCTTCAGGAGAGCCTTTACATCAGGGTTAATCCATGGTTTGTTGTTGGGGAAACACTATCCAACTGAAGCAAATGTGTACTCTATTTCAGCTCCAACAGGATGTGGTCATGAACTGTTCAGTGTGGGAAATGTCCCTTATAATTATAATTAAATTATAGTACCTTTAATATTTGCTCCCAATTTCTGAACATACAAACCTTGCTGCTCAAATACTTCAATGTCTTTTACCAGTGGCTGAAGAATGGCGTCATAGCCATACTTTACATACTTTAACAATACTTTCACATCTCTGCTGTAACAGAGACAAGCCAGATACACAGAGGACATATATATATTATATTGGTAAATCTGAAATCACCCAATCAACTGAACAGACCTTGTGCTTTTTTCTTGAAGTTCTTAATGGGTTAGAAATTTCAAAGTCATTTATGTATAATGCCAGATGTATGCTTAAATTATCTGAAGAATGCAACTGATTCTCTTTGCAGTGTAATCCATATCTGTATGTTTTAAAATGAGTCATTTATCCAAAAGCTTCTGGATCTTCTGTCTTCAAGAACATAATTATGATTTAACAGTTCTGACAAAAGTTTCAAAATAGGAACATAAACATATTTTCTTTTGGAAGATGCATCTAAAGGATATTCAACAGGCTCAATCACCTTAAAATTTGTCAATTAAAAGGTGGTTCTTCTGTTTTTTTAACCAAATTGACTGTTCATTGACAGTGATACTAGGGGATTTGTTTTTCTGACTATCTCCGTTTCAGCACTAGTGATGGAATTACTTACTGTACAATTGTGCTTAATCAATATGCTTTCAATTAATCTTGATGTGAATTCTTTAGCAGTTGAATAGATATTCCAGCATTCATTTACAGTTTCTCAAGTTGTTACCTTAAACACATGAGAAAATGTTTCCACCCAAAAAAACAGGGAAGCTAGTTTGTTTTGAAGCAAATCATGCAGGTCTTCGTCATACTGCACATCACAATTTGATGCAGAAAAGTGCACATGATCCAAATGTGCCTGAAAAGTTGAACTTTCAGAATTTGAGTCTGAGAAATGTCCCGACAAAAATTGTCTATGGTACACTGACAATGGCTTTTACTCTTATGGGCATGAAAAGTACTAAATACACTGGACTGAAAGCTGCAGTCTTTAAAGGGATATTGTACAGTCTCCTTATTTCTGATATGAGTGTTTAAGTGTACAAAATACTGTGCAATACTGCAGGTCTCAAAATGATTGCACAGATCACAGTTCAGATTTGAGGTTGCAATGCAGACGTGAACTGACTGTCTATGGTCTCTAGTCAAATGTTTCTTCAGTGCAGGTTTGGTTTTAAATGAGCACCCAAAGCCTTCATAGATGCAGGGTAGGGGACAATTACTTGTGTGATGGCAGTGTTTTAGTTTGTAGTTATGAGAGTGTGCTGGTTGGGTGATGAGAAAGAGCAGATTTCGTAACATCACCTCATTGACTGGGGCAAGGCTCCACACTGTTCACACTTCCAGGAGACAGGAGAAAGACGCACTAATGTAAACTTGTTAAGAAAGAAAAAAAATGAACTTGTTAAGAAAGAAAAAACTGAAACTAATCTTCATACACTTTTAATAAATCAGAGAGCATCCAGAGGCTCCCTAACTCAGTTTTTTCATCCCATACTGATACATACAAAATGTTTTACTCTGTTCTATTAGAAGTTAAAATGTATACTCATTAAAATGTCTGTGCAATTCATAGTGGAATTAAAACATCTAATATTATTGCAGATAATATTATAATATTAAGACAGTCTGATGAGTGATTACTGTGCACACAATGTTGGTAGGCGAGCTGTAACTCTGACTGTGCTCTGATAGAGCTTGTCTTGTCACCATTACTGCAGATACGTCCCTGCAGGTGGAAGAAAACAAAGCAAATATAAAACAGAATAACCAGAAAACGATTTTAAGAGAACACTAGCTAGATTTGTGGGCTAATAAAAGTAGCTCCCAAAACTGCAAAAGCTCTTAAATAATAAACACATACACAGATATAAAGCTGAAGTCAGCTTCTTATTCACTAGCTTCTCATTTGAATTTTCCATTCCACCTCAAGTGGTGCTACACTTACCATAAACTTTTATATTTCATCACTACACTAATGACTGCACTTATAATGGTATATGCACTGTTTTTTGCATGCTATCAGTGTGCTAGTATGCAGTTTTGGATGGACAATAATAATGCTGTGGAAAATGGATTGGTTATGGATTTTTTGGCTTATAACAAACCGCCACTGCACTGCCAGGTGAACTTAAAGTCTGTGTAAATTCAGAGATTTGTTTCTAGACACATGTGAAAAGACTCTGAACTACACTATATTGCCAAAAGTATTCACTCACCCATCCAAATCGTTGAATTTAGGTGTCCCAATCACTTCCATGGCCACAGGTGTATCAAACCAAGCACCTAGGCATGCAGACTGCTTCTACAAACATTAGTGAAAGAATGGGGCTCTCAGGAGCTCAGTGAATTCCAGCGTGGTACCGTGATAGGATGCCACCTGTGCAACAAGTCCAGTCGTGAAATTTCCTCGCTATTCCACAGTCAACTTTCAGTGGTATTATAACAAAGTGGAAGCGATTGGGAACGACAGCAACTCAGCCACGAAGCGGTCGGCCACGTAAAATGACAGAGCGGGGTCAGCGGATGCTGAGGCGCATAGTGCGCAGAGGTCACTAACTTTCTGCAGAGTCAATCGCTACAGACCTCCAAACTTCATGTGGCCTTCAGATTAGTTCAAGAACTGCGTAGAGAGCTTCATGGAATGGGTTTCCATGGCCGAGCAGCTGCATCCAAGCCTTACATCACCAAGCACAACGCAAAAGGAGTTGTGCTCAACCCCCTAGTTCCGGTGAAAGAAACTATTAATGCATCAGCAGACCAAGAGATTTTGGACAATTTCATGCTTCCAACATGACTGCACACCAGTGCACAAAGCAAGATCCATAAAGACATGGATGAGCGAGTTTGGTGTGGACGAACTTGACTGGCCTGCACCTCAACCCGATAGAACACCTTTGGGATGAATTAGAACGGAGACTGCGAGCCAGGCCTTCTCGTCCAACATCAGTGTCTGACCTCACAAATGCGCTTCTGGAAGAATGGTCGAAAATTCCCAATAACACACTCCTAAACCTTGTGGAAAGCCTTCCCAAAAGAGTTGAAGCTGTTATAGCTGCAAACGGTGGGCCGACTTAGCACGACCCCTCCTCTAACACCATAACCTAATTAAAATTTGAGTCAGAATTTGCAGAACAGCTCAGTCTTCTTATTTAAATTTTCTAAGAATGATGAGATGAAGAATAGATGGGTTGATTTTGTGAAGACCCACGTTCATGGAGAGCTGAGGATTCATACAATCTTCGATTTGACTCACTGGTGTATTTCACTCGACATATTCTACTTATGTTAACTTTTTTATCAAACCCTGTTAGCCTTGCCTAGCTAGTTATCAAAGTAATGACACTTGCTGTACTGTGCAATATTCATCTCCACAAAATCCATATACATTTACACTAAAGAGGCAATCAATCTAAAGTCTTTAAGAGAAACAATATGGTAAACGCTAATCGTCTGGCAGTTCAGTCATTGTTACTTGCCCAGTCACAGCTTAACTTATTTCACCTTGGACCTCATAGCTATATTTTAGCAAAAAACAGTGCATTTTGAGAGGTACATATTAGGTTTGTTGATTCCATTCCACCTTCAAACCTGCAGCAGCGACATCCTGGCACCCATGAGGTGATTATAAAGCGTTCCAAACATGATAAATGAATTAAATGATGTTGACTGTTTGAGTTCATTAAATCTATATGATTAGAGTATAAAACAAGCTTGATGTTTATCCACAGTCTCAGTGTGATGCTTAATGTGTGCTGTTTTAAGCAGAATTATTTATCTGGCTTTGAATTAGATCCAGGCTCTGGAAGCTCAAACCTGTATGGCTTTACAGGTTTAGTAAAGCTACTATGCAGTATCCATTTTTCAGAGAGGCTGCACCTTTCCTGCAGTTGGGTGTGGTTTCAGCTCCTTCATCAGCACTTACTTCATAATTTGTCCTGATGAAGTACATCACCCAGGGAAATTTCACACACTGTTTGATGAACACTATTTAGACATACTAAGCATGTTGTGTTGTACTGCTTTTGCATACTGTATAGTGTGGAAGATTTTAAATTTCTTTCTTCTCATTGCTTCAATTTGAACGTTGAGTGTGGTTGAGATGACAGTGTTATTGTTTCTCTTCCAGGCTGTTTGGTTGTAGTCTAAAAGAGGAAGACTGTGTAGAGCTGGCCTCAGTTCTCAGCTCAGAGAACTCAACACTGAGAGAACTGGACCTGAGTCAGAATGAACTGAAGAATCCAGGAATGAAGAAGCTCTGTGAGGGACTGAAGAGTCCAAACTGTAAACTGGAGATACTGAGGTAAGATAACTTTCTCACTGTGGATATATTGTATATCATACACAGTCAATTTACAGTCTTAATAATGTAAGAGACTGTTTATACACATACCCACACACTGAATTAGCCTAAAAAATGAAGTGAGTAACAAACTATACAAACTACAAAAACAAAAAAAAAAACACATCAATCTTTATAAAAGTGTTGTGACCTCCTGCTACCAGCCTCACTGGCAGGGGAGCGTTTCCATGCAGAGAGGCTCTTGGGAGGCACCGTTTCCCAGTAGGAGAGACTTTAATGTTGTAAATAAGTTGTTGCTGTTAGTTTAATGTGTGCATATGTGTTTGAGTGTGCTAATCTGTGCTGGGCTGTGGGATAGTGCAGTGTTCTTGCATACGGTCAATGGAGATTGTATGGCTAAAAGTGACCGATTTATATATCGCTCAGAGGCAGTTTTCCCCTGCGGATTTGTTCAATAAAAGAGCACCCATTTTTTAATCACAATGTTTCCTGTGTTTTTAAATTTAATTCCTCTAATCATTAACAATAACTCAGTAACTTTTAGTTTCTAATATTACTGTGACACTTCAACAGAATCCAGACGCTCGCGGTGTAAAAAAGGCGAAAGGAGATTTAATGGAATCAGGCAAAAACGAAGTCAAAAAACAAGCAGGGGTCAAATCCAAACAGCCAATACCAAACACAACAATGATAAAATCACCGTGTGAACAAAATCAGGGGGCAAGACAAAAGGGCAAGTCGAAAAACAGTCCAGTAGTTCAAAAAACACAGAACACAAATCACAGGCAACAGTATCCAAAAGGGTAAAGGCAAAAAGGCAGAGTCGAGTAAACAAAGCAAAGGGTCAAATACACAGCAGAGTAACGATCAGAAATAACGCTCAGTAAGGTTCGGAAAGAAACAATACCTCGCACTGATCTTCCCTAAAGCCCGGGCTTAAAAACTATCCTGTCCTGATCATATGATCTAAAGCAAAAGTGCCAATAATCAGTACTCAGGAGAATGAGAGCGCTGATAGGAGCGCGAGATATTGTCCGAAGTCATGTGGTCCCCTTGAGGATCGTGGGTATTGGAGTCCGTATCATCCCTTGATACTGGCAAATGCGTGACAATTACGCTCACATGTTGGTGTTAAAAATGCTCTGTGCTCCATAGAGGTGTATGCATAGAGGTCTGTCAGCATGCAAAAATGGAAACGTTGCCATGGTGGCAGTGTTATCAGTGAAAGTGAATGGTTATCAGAGGAGAGCTTTAGCAGTGTTCATTCCTCATTTAAGATTAAAATGAAGGCAGAAGACTGCTCTAGACTTTATTTTGTTTGTACAACAACAAATGATCTTGTGCATTTTATTTTATTATTTTATATGTTTATATTATTATTTTATTAAAACATCTAAATACAATTCTGAGAAAGATGAGGAGTAGCACTGTTGAGGAAGACGAGAAGCTGCACTGCTGAGGAAGATGAGGACAAACACTGTTGAGGATAATGTGTAGCAGAAATGCTGAACTTGAGGAGGAAGAGGAGAACTGAGGAAGATGAAGGGCAGCATTGGTTGAGGAAGATGAGAATTAAGTGTAATGTATTGGTTACGGCATCACACTATGTATGCTTGCAAAGTTCATCCTCATCACTGGTGGGTGAACAGCATATGTGTATTTGAACTTTATTTGAAGACATTTTTGTTTTTAAAAGGTTAAGACAAGTCAGTCTTGCTAACATAGTTTAAGCTGAGTGTGTTTAGCTCAAGCACAGCATGAATTCAGAGGTGGGTAGCAACTAGTTACATTTACTCAAGTACATGTAGTTCAGTAAAATTCTGATGGATTTTTTACTCTCCTGAGTATTTTTAAATCATGATACTTTTACTTCTACTGAAGTATATTAGTGAGTAAAGGAATCTTTTTACTGTGAGTTTTTAGCCATTCATATTTAGATACTAATTCCTTTTTGTGTTTAATTTCAGTTTGTTTTGATGGTGGCAATATTTGTATTGCTTTGTGATTGGTTACATCTCTGACTTTGGAGCTTCTGTGTTTTAGACCAACAGAATCCCAAAAGGAGAAGAACAGAGCTGCACAATCTTCAGTTCCTATACTGATAAATGTTTTAAGTTTCAAGTTTATTTATTTGTCATATGCACAACATGCCAGGACATTTATGCATTGAAATGCTTGTGGTGAGGCTCGGACTAACACTCTACAGAAAGTAAAAATAAAATTACAAGAAAAATTAACTGAAATATATTAAATATACACAAAATATAGAGAAAATACAGATAAAAATATACACAAATATAGAGAAATGTACACAATATACAGACAATATACATTTTAAAGTGACTAAGTGACTGTTATTGTTCTTAAAGTGGCTTAGTGTTAAGGTGTTATTGTCCATAGCAGAGACGACATGATGTAATAATAATACTGACAAAAAGACTGAGTGAAATGGTATTTAGTGAAGGACCCACAGCTTCACAGCTTGTTCAGAAGCCTGACAGCCTGTGGGTAGAAACTGTTCATTAACCGGGTTGTCCTAGCCTGTATGCTACGAAATCTCCTGCCTGATGGCAGGATGGTGAACAGGCCGTGTGCTGGGTGGCTGCTGTCTGACCGGATCTTTTTGGTCTTCCTGAGGCAGCGGGACTGGTAGACATCCTCTAAGGCTGGTAGTCTGTTGCCTATGATGGCTTCTGCTGTCCTCACCACTCCTTTAAGGGCCTTGCGGTCACAGGCAGTGCAGCTGCTGTACCAGACAGTGATGCAGCCTGTGAGGATGCTCTCTATGGTGCATCTGTAGAAGCTGGTGAGGATCTGAGGAGGCAGACCAAACTTCCTGAGCCTGCGCAGAAAGAAGAGACGCTGACGGGCAGATCTTACGATAGTGTTGGTGTGGAGGGACCAGGTGAGGTCATCAGTGAGGTGTACGCCGAGGAACTTCACACTGCTGACTCTCTCCACTTCAGATCCATTGATGAACAGGGGAGAGTGACCACCCCTCTGCAGCTTCCTGTAGTCCACAATCATCTCCTTTGTTTTGCTGATGTTGAGACAGAGATTGCTGTCATGACACCACTCTGACAGAGCGCTGACCTCGTCTCTGCAGGCTGTTTCATCTCCATCAGTGATGAGGCCTAGGATGGTGGTGTCATCAGCAAACTTGAAGATGATGTTAGATGTGTGTTTGGCTACACAGTCATGTGTATACAGGGAGTACAGGAGGGGGCTGAGCACACATCCCTGGGGAGCCCCTGTGCTCAGAGTCAGCGTGGAAGAGAAGCTGTTCCCAACTTTCACCACCTGGGGTCGCTCGTCAAGAAGTCCAGTATCCAGTTGCACAGATGAGAGTTCAAACCCAAGTCTGTGAGTTTAGGAATGAGTTTGGAAGGGATGATTGTGTTGAATGCTGAGCTGTAATCTATGAACAGCATTCTTACATATGTATTTTTTCTGTCCAAGTGTGTGAGAGCAGTGTGTATTGTTAGTGCAATGGCGTCGTCTGTAGATCTGTTGGAGCGGTATGCAAATTGGTGAGGGTCCATGGTGGCTGGAAGTGTTGAACAGATGTGAGCTTTGACCAGCCGCTCGAAGCACTTCATGACTGTTGATGTCAGTGCAACAGGGCGGTAGTCATTCAGGCAGGTGACAGACGATTTCTTGGGGACTGGAACAACTGTGGTTTCCTTAAAGGACTTGGGAATCACTGACAGTCTTAAGGAGAGGTTAAAGAAGGATCTCACCACCTCAGACAGGGGAATGGCTAGAGCGCAGCTCTCCTCATCTACTGGGAGTTTCTCAGCAGGTGAGGTGTTAGTTGCCTCAAAACGAGCATAATGAGCATTAAGTTCATCTGCAAGTGAGGAGGAAGAGCCGCTATCACAGATCACACCTTCTTTGTAGTCAGTGATGGTGCGCAGGCCACTCCACATACGTCTGAGGTCAGAGCCAAGATAGTTGGATTCCACTCTGTCCCTATAGCTCCTTTTGGCCAGCCTGATGGTCCTCTGAAGGTCATATCTGGCCTTCTTGTAGCTAGCCGGGTCACCAGAGTTGTAGGCAGCAGCCCGAGCTCTTAGTTTGGCTCGAACCTCAGCATTGATCCAGGGTTTCTGGTTGGGAAATGTTCTGACATTGATTTTTGGTACAATGTCTTCAGTGCATTTACTGATGTAGCTTGTGATGGAGTCAGTGTATTCATTGATGTCTGTGCCAGCCGCGTCACGGAACATCTTCCAGTCTGTGGATTCAAAGCAGTCCTGAAGTGTGAAGATGGCCTCCTCACTCCATTGATAGACTGATCTGAGAACTGGTTTTGCCTGTTTAAGTCTTTGTTTGTATGCAGGCAGGAGAAGAATAGAAGTGTGATCAGCTTTGCCGAAGGCAGGGCGGGGGAGGGGTTTGTAACTGTCCTTGATTGTGGTGTAGCAGTGGTCAAGAGTCTGTTCTCCTCGGGGGGGAAATTTAATGTGCTGGTAGTATTTGGGCAGGACTTTCTTCAAGTTTGCCCTGTTAAAATCCCCAACCACAATAAAACCAGCCTCAGGGTGAACGTTCTCAAGTCCATTAATGGTCTCGTACAAAACCTCCAAAGCACGAGACTCATCTGCCTGAGGTGGGATGTAGACTGTACTGAGAATGACTGAGCTGAAGTCCCTGGGCAAAAAAAGGGTTGAACTTTGACTGTAATGAGTTCAATGTCTGGAGAGCAGCGACTGGCTAGAACCGCTACATCTGTTCCCCATCGAGAGTTCACCATAACACACACCCCGCCGCCTCTGCCCTTACCAGAGTCCAGAGTTCTGTCCTGGCGGTAGGCGGTGAAGCCGGCCAGTGTGATGCCGTTGTTCGGTGTTGCCTCGGAGAGCCACATCTCTGAGCACTAAAACGCAGCAGCTCTCGATGTCGCGCTGAAACCTGATCCGCACGCTCAGCTCGTCTATTTTGTTCTCCAGTGATTGAACATTTGCGAGCAGAACACTTGGGGGCAGAGGGTTGAAGCTCCTTCTCCTTGTCCTGCATAAGACCCCGGCACGTCGACCCCTCTCACACTTCCTCCTGCTCCGCCGGCCCGCGCGTGTTGGTAAACAAAGGGGCAGAGAAGTCGCGAAGGGGCAGCCGCGCGTGTCCGAGCGCGTGTTTGTGTTGAAGTCCGTCTTGAGCGATGATCGAATGTTCAAAAGAGTCTGTCGATCATACTGAATAATCCCAAAAGCGGTTTGTGCAAAAACACAAAGAAACAGCGCAATAAAACACAAAAACCTGTAGAGTTTACCCAGAGCTCTTACCAGTGCGGCCATTCTACGGCGCACCGGAACCGGATCTCATTCGTGTCATTCATTCATCCATCAAATGCTGGATGTACTGAGAGGTTCCACTGCAGTCCTCAGTACTTAAGTAGATTTTTGACCTGCTTCTTTTGTATTTCTACTTAAGTTGTATTGAGGAAGGTACTTGTACTTGTGTAATGATTTTATGCAAGTATCAATACTTTCACTTGAGTATTGATTTAGGCTCATCTATGCACCTCTGAACCTGATCATGAACAGTGCCGGTGTATGTTTTGGTGCTGTTTCAGTAGCTGCAGCCTCAGATATATGTATTTGTTAGCTAGCATCTCTGAAGAACATCAAGCTGTTTTCATGCTGAGTTCATTTTCTGAAGATGCACCACAGTTTCTTTTTTTGTGATATTATATCTCTTTCTCAAGGTTTGGATGATGGACTACAAATACTAAAGTGGAGTAAATAACACATTTATTTATAGATCAGAAGTTTTGCGGGGATGCAAACACTCTGTTACTCTCACATTCACCTCCATGAAAACAGAGAAACTGAAAATAGAGATGCTTATCATCTGTGTGTACACCGGTTTAAATTTAACCAATCAGGTCGCTGATGCTTCAATTTGCTCCACAGTCCATGTGCCAAAGTCATGTTAAAACAGCAGATTGTGCAGACAGTCCAGCGAAAATGTGAACTGGAAAAAACATGTTGAATTGCCTCAGGAATTAGCACGGTTCAGATGTTTGGTGCAGACCTGAACTTGGGTGGAGTGTTCACATGTCAAAACCTAACTGTTGGACAGGTCCACACCAACCGTGGCAGGTCAGAAAGTGCCTCCCAGCTGAAATGGAGATTCTCTTTGGCTCTACCGCTGAGTTTTACTCTGCCTGTTTGTGCTGGGCAGCACTTCATGCAGTTTAGGGAAAGTGGAGTTTTTTATGAGCACATCCTGAACTAAAAAAGTGGTGGGGAATTACCCCAGTACTTTAAAAAGTGGTGGGCAAAATGCCCGCTCGTCACTGTGTTTCCAGCAGCCTTGACAGAAGCTAGATTTCCATTCACATATTTCTATGCATATTTAGACATATTGGTTAAAAGAAGACTTGATAGCAACAGCAAATATAGAATAAAATCTGCCAAATTCAAATACAAGTTTGCACACTCAGTTGAACTTGATATTTTTACAGATGAAGATGTTAATTATGATGGAAACACATTTGTTGAATAAATAATGTAAAGGCGCATAGAGTTACAAGTGTTTGTTTTAGCATTCAGCTGTAGCTACATGTTACACCAGCTGTACATAAGTTAAAATGTGGGCTACTTATTGTAACGTTTGACCAGTAAGCAGACGCTCGCGGTTATAAAATACAAAAGCTTTACTTGTGGGATCAGAAATGAGTAATGTCGTCAGAAAACAGGCATAGGTCAGTTCCAAAATACACAGTAGATGAAGAAGGGCTACCATAACCAACAAGGGGAAAACAGAGCAAAGTCCAGAAAACAGGCGATGAGTCAAAACCATAAATCTAATAAACCAGGCAAAAGTACACAAGGGCAAATCCAAAAACAGAGTCAGAGAAAAACGGTAAACAGAAGGTCATACACACGATATATCAACAGGAAGAACGCTCAGTAGTTTCACAATGGAAAGCAATACCTCACAATGAACCTAGCTCTAGCCCGGGCTAATATACTAGCTATCTAGTCATATGACACAAACACACAGGTGAACAGCATTAGTATTCAGGTGATCTCGAGCGCTGATAGGAAGATGAGGATCTTTGTGGAGTCGCGTAAGCTGGCTGAGGATTCTGGGAAGTGGAGTCCGAGTCATTACTGGCAAGTGAGGGAAATAGCTCCGTATCTTGGTTCCCCAGTGTATTCTGGGAAATGTAGTCTGTTGGCTGACTAGCCGAAGAAGTGACACTTATAATGTAAGCTTTTAATTTCAGATTTCCACATTACTAAATCAAAACAAGTAGCATCACTCAAGCTTGTTCTTTATTTTTGGGGATTTTGTCCCCATTTCATCATATACAATTCCACCCACTAGTTAAGACTCTGCCAGTCACACAATACCATCAGTGCTAGGAGGGTGAAAGCTAGCACAGGCTTCCTCTAAGACCTGTGAAGCACCACATCTTTTCAAACTGCTGCTAACAAATTGCCATTGGACCGCTGAACACGCTTGGGGGAGTACACTAACCGCCAGTTCTGTTACGTCAGCTAACAAGCACCTGCACTGGTTAGCATGGCGCTAAGTGATGAGGGAAGACGGGGGGCCATCCTATCCACCCAGAGACAGCGAGGCTAACTGTGCTCTCTTGAACTCTTGAGCCATGTATGGATATAGCATCACCGGGGACAAACTAAATACTATAGGCTATAATTTTACCTACAGCGCTAATCATCTCCCTGGTGTTAATTCTGAACATGAAGCTACACCCACAGCTCCAGTTCAGTGAGACTCAGCAGCTGCACAAACATCTAAAACATGTCATAACTTTTGCACACGTCATATTTTGTTACATTTTTATTTTTTCCAACATTATATTCAGCATGTAAACAGTGTAAATCAGAAAATGTGCTTGTGTTTCTGCTGTTTTGGTTTATTAATTTAGTAAATGAATTGCAGGTTTTTATTGCTATTGTTTCTCGTGTTCCAGTTTTAGTGCGTTAATAGTTATGAAACTAAGTGTTGTGTGTCTGTATTACTTCTACAGTGTCTCTGAATAAACTATCTAAAATTAAGTAAACTGTGAAAATACAGTATTTTCAGAAACTATAATATTAATATCAAAATCTCACATTGTCAAATATCTAATACAGACAAGAGCGCCATTTGTTCAACTGCACCTTTTTCTGTTTGTGTGTGTGTGTGAGTGTGTGTGTATCTGTAATTGTGAGGAGTTTGTTCTTCTCTCTGCAGACTGGAAGAAGTGTATTTTAGA